TTTTTCTTTTCTTTCATCATTACTTTAGCGCTTAATTGTACATTTTTTTTTATATAATATATATTTCAAAGTAGTTGGTCATCATCACCGCATAATTAGTACCCATCGAAAGAAGAACAACTGATTTAACCTGCGGGTGCACGCGAGCACTGCCACATTTAATTAATAACCTTGCATCCAAATTTCCAAGTCATTCCTCAGTTTCAAACATGGAAATTACTGTAGACTCGGACCAAAGTACAGTTTGCATCGATTAAAAAATATTTGTATCGAAGCCAAGTCGGCATTTTTTGACCTAAAAGTTTGTCATTCGTTTAATGGTAATCGCACACAAAACCTTGCTCGTTGTTCTTCCTCTTGTTTCTCCTTATGTATACATCATGATAACCATCATTATATAACATCAATGGATGCATTCGCAGCATATTGAAGGATAATCACAAGGCATAATACATACGCACGTACAAACATATACATATACATTGATTTGTACAGAGTTATATAAAAGTGAGTCGCTATAAATTATTTCTCGGCTCATTTGGCGCCTTCTCTTTGTCTCTTGGAATTGAATGAATATCATCGGCAACGTCTCTCATGCGCTCTTGTTTTATGTTTCTTGCAGCGTTTGTTTTTGTTTTTTTTGTTTTTTTTTGTTTTTTTTTGTTTTTGTTTTTTTTCTATTTTTCTTCTCGTCGACTCTTGAACGATACAATACGTGTGGGGGGAATAAAAGGATACAAATGGATACATGGATATAAAAATACTAAAGGGAGGGAAATAGATTACTAGATAAATTGTGCAGAGAAGAAGGTGTAGATGTTAATTCTCGCATTCATTTTTACTGTTACTTTTTTAGCTGATGTTTAAAGCGACAGTAGATCACATTACACGCTTACGCCACACGACGACGACGACAACGGCAACGGCCAAGGCGATGTTTGGTTGCGAGACATTGGATATATGAAATACATTGCTTACTCAATGTGCCTATAAAAATAATTGTCTCAGTGCACACAGAAAGAGATGCGACGATGCAGCAATTACGTGAGCGTTATTATTGTCGATAAAAGTAAAAGAAATTTTTCATTACTTTTTTTTTTTTTTGTTTGTTTGTTTTCAAAAGGCATAAAAAAAGAATGAGAAAAAAAATTTGTTTAACGGATGAAGGCCGAGTGTGCGTATACATGTGTGGGGATTAAAAAGTAGGAAAATAAATGGGGTTTTTTTTTTAGATTGAGAATGGGGTATCTAGGAGTGCAGGATACAATGAAAGACCATACTGATTGAGAGACAGACATGGCACGGCGACTCCGGTCGAAAGTGTACACGGTCACAACGTCACAGGACACCTGCTGGCACACAAACAAACACACGGACAGGTTAGTCACCACCACACTGGGTAAGATGCACATGAGAATCCTCGTTAAGACGGACATGGACCATCTGTATCTCGTTAATTGTAGAAAAGGAGAAAGATTGCGCGTTTATTACAAACATAAAAATTCATTGGTCAAGAATTTTCCAAAATTATCGCAAATTTCTCTTTTTCTCAAAATATAAATTCATGCGTTTTTGGTTCATCATTCGTATTTGTGGGAATACGCTGATGAAAAATAAAAATTATCGAGAAACAGACGTTGATACCGATTCTTCGTGAGGATCTTTGAAAACGCATTTTTCAAACTTGTAAATTTAAAAGCATGCGTTTTCAAACGGGCCATCATATCGCGTACTTGTGTAAAAATTTCAAGTTAAAAACAACTGCGTTCCTTGAAGGCTAGAATATTTATATGCTTTTTCTTATGCAAGTGATACAAAAACTCCATAGTTATCATCTGCAGTAGTGAACCCTTCAAAGAACCGAACAATCAAAGCACATAGAGGCAACATGTTTGAGCAACATAAAACACTGTTGATTTATAGAACCCATGTTCTACTTAAGGCCATATTTTGGGACAAAACAATTTAAAAATATTTATATACAAGCGTTTGACAGTAACAATTAGTTTGCTCGGCTACACAGGTATTTTTAATTGTTTCAATGCCGTACTTTTTTTTTTTTTTTTTTTTTTTCAATAAATTTCAAAAGAGATACGAGACCAGCAACAATATCGGGAACAAATCTATACATGTATCATATATTTGTAAAACGTGTTAAATCAATTGACATACAAAATGATTACAATGAATAAAACACACTCGAGTAAAAAGAAAAAAGAAAATCAGTCTTTTGTGTGGGTGAGGCACTGTGATCGTAAAAGATGAATAAAAAATTACGATAATAACAACCAAAAGCCTACGTCAAACATGAAAGCCACATCAGTTAAACCCTCTACGGTTAGAATAAATTTACCTATGTCGATATACACGTTACATTGTTAATATCAAGCACTTGTGTGTGTTAACAACATACAAATCAAACGAAATAAAAAAAAAGAGTATGTCGCTAGTTAAAATTTTAATATTGTACATAAATTGTAAAATATATTGTAAATACATTGTAAAAAAAAAAGAAAAAAAAAAAAAAAAAGAAATGAATAAATAGAAAAGCGCTTTGTAGCAGAGAGATACGACTAGTCGTGTTTGCATATTTTGCAATGAAAGAATACGCGGTAGTTGAATTGATACATCAAACGCGATCTGCGTAGAGAAAGCATATGTATGCGCGCGCGCGTGTGTGTGTGAGAGAAAGAGAGAGACAACAAACTATAGAGGACGGGAAACAGTTTAGAAAAATACGCAACCTTTTAACAGACAAATCACAAATAAACCAGCGCATCTGTACATGACAATCAACGGTCAGTAATGTCAGGCCTCCTGGGGCTACGTTTTTTCTGTTTTTTCTAATCGGTACTGCAATCGAATGTTTATCAGTGTTTTTGTCAAATTACTGCTGATGAAAAATATAACACTTATAGAGAGAGACTAGAAAAAACGGAGCAAGAAATTGAAACTTTGTCAAAAATAGTGGGAAAAAAAGAACATGTTTAACATAATTGTGGTATCAATTGGCAAAATTTCGTCATATCGAGTTGGAAAATACACGAATGGATATATAAAAAAGGAGTGATTGAGCAAATTATGTATATGGACAAAACAGAATTATTGTTCAGTGTAGAAAATGTAGTCCATTGAAACAATGAAATTCCAGATGATTGTCGTGCTACGTTTTGCCATTCTTAATGGCAACATTTTTAATTTATGTGATAATTAAATGCGAATAAGCCCAAAACAAAAAAATGGGCAATCGAGGAAAAATATCGTAAGTTATATGCTTATTCGTTGTACTTGATTGAGTTTACATGGGCTATAAATATAATACACAGTACTCGGGATATATCACAGTTTCGCTTGTGTATTGTACTGACGAATCTAATCGGAAAAATAATAAAAGCTTGACTAGAGATTAATAGTAAAAACAAGCCAACAAATTATATTGGCACCCAACAAGAATAATAAAATTAATTATTTTCTACGACGGTACGTGATATTTTTACACTCAACCCAAAGTAAACTGTGTAAAAATTTTGTTATTTCAGCATATACTTTTAGACTTGTTCGAGAACTCGGAGGGAACTTTAACTCGGGCTGTTTTTTTTTTTTTTTTTTTTTGTGCAAACCAGTGCTGGTTTTATGTTTTAGGTCTACCTACTGTCGTTGAAATAACTGTCGATACCGATCTAGTAAGGCTTGGACATGTCCTTTGACTTCTTTAGTTGGACTTTTAATCGTTTTGTGCCAATTTGGTAGCCATGCATCGTCTGAATAGCATTTTGAGCACTCGAGGGCTTGTCAAAAGACACAAAGCCTAAAAAAAATAATAATAATAAATAATGTGTAGTAAATCAAATAATAAAAACAGCAAATCTATCGTTATTGTTCAAATAAAATTTTATTTGCACAATTAATTAATATATTCGCACTCACCGAAGCATTTGCTCTTTTTGGTCTCCTTGTCGATGAAGACCTTGGCCGATAGTACATTGCCAAGAGGCATGAACATAGCTACGAGATCTGCGTCAGTGTAGGTATGCGGCAAGTGATAAATAAAGAGATTGCACCCCTCGGGACCTTCAATCTGCTTCGACAGAATACGAAAATCATTGAATGTTGGTGATGCCGAAACTGCTGCTGCCGTCGACGCCGCTGCAGGTGCAAACGTCGGAAATCCTGAAAGCCAGAAGAAAATTTGTAGCCTGCACTTGTTACATAATGTTTCTGATGGAAAAAAAAGAAAGAAAAAAAATTTGGAGCGATACAACGAGTGTATGCGAAATTTACTCGATTTGTTTTAGTACGAGTAACTGATAATTTATGAAAGATGCGTATGCAAAAGCATTTTTTCATCTTCAAGTGAAGGGCAATTTTTTTGTTCCTCCTCCAACCACACCAGCAACAGAAAAATGTACATAATATCCAACGATACAATCTGATGCATTAAAATATCAAATGTACTGAAAAACTTGGATTAACGAGGAATAATGAGAGAAAAATCCAACAGTTTGCTCATTCGATGAAAATTTACTTACTGTGCAGCTCTTTCTTTTCCACAGTGACGGTAGTTTTTCCAATGAGAGCTTTGAATCGTACATAGATTTAGACGTTAGATGATTAAATATCATTGAAAGTGTTGATCAATTTTGCATGCGAACTTTAAATTATTTTTAAAAATGATGGATGAGCAAATGCAATGACTGAAAGGATTGAAAAAAAAAAAAAGTAATATCTGTATAAAATATACATATAAAATACCTGCATACTGCTGCAAACTCGAGTAGGCATTGGTGATGGAGTCCTGGAGGCCGCCCAGGGGAACCCCCGTCAAGGAATTGAGCGCCAACGACGAAACAGGATTTAGACTANTTTTAAGGGCTACGTTATCAACTTATTTGGTTTAAAAAATTCTAGTTCCCAAGTCGAATCGTAAAATAAACACTGCAGGTCAAATGCTTTCAATCAAAAATATACATATAAAATACCTGCATACTGCTGCAAACTCGAGTAGGCATTGGTGATGGAGTCCTGGAGGCCGCCCAGGGGAACCCCCGTCAAGGAATTGAGCGCCAACGACGAAACAGGATTTAGACTATTGCCTGTGGACCCTGAAACATTGTTTGACAAATGTTAACTTGTTCAATCGTCTGGTTAATATAATCGGCAATGATTTAAATCGTTGTAAAAAAAAAATTAACAAGGCTGCACTTGGGCGTAAGGCACGTAGGTATATAGTATAGGAAAATACTACTGCCAGCAAGTCATGCGCCACATACACCCGGTCATGTTTTCAAAGTTATTGAAAGTCAAAGCTCGTAAATGCCTAATAAAACATACTTTGCACAGGTTATACAATTAACAGAGAAATAAGCCAATACCTCACTGCACGTATTGTTTGATGATGATATACAAATTATTACTCTTTTCCATGTTCGCTAAAAGTGGTACGTAACCATTATTACATACCTATACTTACTCTTGAGTAAAAATAGTATAAATCAGCCGTGTATAGAAAGAAGAATTTAGTCAACTCTTTTTTAAGGAGCGAAATCGTAGAAATTCTTTTTGCCAGAAAAAAAAAAAAAAAAAAAAAAAAAAAAAAAAAAAAAAGTCCTGTACATACCACTTTAAATAACAATAGTTGCTATCGATGAAAGAATAAACAATAGCCACCATAGCCAAGTGAATTTGGTTCATTTCTCTATTGAAACTTGCATTGTACATAGTCACACGTGGTATTGTTAATATTATAATTAGCAACAGCAGCAGTGCAATATTAATTCTTGCGCGATCCATCAAACGAAATTATAAGCAATTTTACAATTTAATGATACAGGATGAAATGCAGAAAAATCAGTGACTAAATCGTACTTGCATGCTTTCCCATTTTCATTAATCCGTACTTTTGTAACGATTCGAAAAATAAAAATGTAATTAAACAAAAACACAATGCACACAAGCATCAGGCATTCATAAATATACTTATGTATGTAATATATGTATATCAGGTACTTGTATCAAGTATAAGGCCACACAAATAATCATCGTTCCTAAAAGCGCCTATAGTTATACTTGGTAAAAGACTGGTAAAATGTATATACATACATAATATTCTAATTGTTATCTTATAATACGCGTAGTCCTATGCGAGTGCGGTTGATTAATCATGGGCTTATTACGGATACTCTACCAAACCAATATCAAATTTCAATAGTTAATACTTTAACCGAGAGTAATGATCAACTTTTTAATAATATACACAAAGTATGTACGAAAAAAGTATTAAACGACAAGACTACGTAAAATTTACGGCAGTCTCACCTGTACTTCCTGTCTTTCCGAGTAGAGCAGCTACAATCAAAAGGGAGATAAAAACATACAGTTGTTTATTTTTTTGTCATTCAAGTAATGAGAATAATAGTAATAATAATTTGTCTCGTTATTCTTTTTCTTGTTCATAATCAATAATAATTTTGTTCTGTACACCTGGCAGGATAATTATTATTTAATATACAATATAACTCAACATGGGTATTAGAAAGCATGGTTTTCTCAAATATACAAATCTTGTTTACAGTTAAGTTAAACATTTAACTGGCATGATAATATTTGTGGTTTCTGTTCAAGACATTAGGTTTCACTTTTTTCAAAAAAATCAATTAAATAATATTTTATATAATTAAAAAAAAATATAATNCTTTCAAGTGATTGGTAAGTTCGTCAAGTACTGCGCGTTACGTAAAAATAAAAAAAAATAAACATTATAAATAAATAAAACAATGCATACAAAAGTAAAGGAGGGAGGGGATTGTAGAGTTTTAGTTTATTAATGTTTCGTTATACTATACCAAATGTAACATGACACGTACATAGTGACATACCTGCTGACGAATTGGTTAATCCACCTAGAGCTAAAACACACATTTTTATCGTTTGATTGTTGTATTTAAACTCGATGTATTCTTTTTTTGTTATTAAATGAAACATTGTACATTCCACTTATTAACGATCAAGATCGTCAATAACAATAATTACATGGGTTGTGATTGAAAGTATTAGTCCTCGATGATGAATAAAAATTAACATGCATGGTAAAAACATAAACATTAAAGTCAAATGAGCATATAGTGAAATAAATATGTCAGAAAAGCTTTGGGAATTGACAAGAATGGTTTTTTTTTTTTTCTTTTTAACAATATACATAAAGGATGGTATTATATATTTGTCACGGTACATTCCGTACTTACCGTTTGGTGAAAGTTGCAGGTTGTTGGTCCCACCCGTCATGGCCGCAAGAGTGACAAGGTTCTGCATGCTTATCGGTGACACTCCGGCGCTTGCTAAATAAAGTCGTAGAAAGTCAAGCATAAATGTAATGTGCAATTGAGGGAAAAACATATGGCGGTAAGGTAAAAACACAAATGTGCCGAGTGAGACGAGGTGAATGGGATCGATGCTTAATTTTAACAACTTGTTGGGGATGAAACGAAGAATCCAAGCCCGTGCGACACTGACCATCGTACTCACCGGCCGAGCTACCAAGAGAGGCCAATGTCGCCAGGCCCTGCAGATTGGCCGAGTTGATGTCCTGGGTGGTGTGAACAGCCGAGGTCTGAACAGGCGAGGGTGCGACCGCCCCCAGACCAATGTGCTGTTGCAGCAGTAGCTGGTGCTGGACGCTCGTTAATGCGCTTGGTGTTGGATTTGAGGCAACCGGCGGCGTTGCTCCCGAGCTCGCCTGCAACTGCTGTAGGAGCTGCAACGACGTTGCCGTAGGAGCGATCGTCGACGGTGTCTCGTTCTGCTGTCGATCGTTTATTTATTCTTGATTATCGTCTGTTACTACACGATTTTTAAATAATGATGAAAAATGGGTATTCGTAACGAAAAAAATAATCGCGATTAGAAATTGCATCGACTGGTACGTGTACAATGAAAGACGCCAAGTAATAATTTTAAGGGCTACGTTATCAACTTATTTGGTTTAAAAAATTCTAGTTCCCAAGTCGAATCGTAAAATAAACACTGCAGGTCAAATGCTTTCAATCAACATAATACAAACAAAAATAAACATAAAAAAAAAAAAGAAAAATTTTAAATCATGCGATACCGTTGTGAGGTAATGGGGTGTCATATTGACTCCAGCGATATTCCAGAGGTTTGTCTGCATCTGCTGCAACTTTTTCTGGTCCTTATCCTTCTGTGTATCCGCAAACTTTACCACCAACGGCGATGAGCAACCCTACAGAACAAGAGGAACATTGTTGTTACGAGCTGAATTTCATATTGGTAACAATAAATGGAAATTCTGTCTGAGGATATCAACTGTTGTTCCCATTGTCGAGACAGTTTATCTAGTGTAAAAAACAGTCGAGCACTCATCGTTTTTTGAAAGAAGCCAAAGTTTGTGATGAGAAAAAAAAAAAAAAAAAAAAAAAACAGCGGTGTTCTAGTCCTTGGGGCACTTGTGTCACGGTTGACTATCTTGTGTTCCCATGACGTATACTTGATCGGAAGTCTGTTTCGTATCAGCAAAAGGAAAGCGAAAGAAAAAAAGAAATGAGAAACATAGCCGAGAAAGATGTTACGATCAATTAGTCGCTTGAACGATCGGTGCTCTAGCAAATTAAATCAGTTGGCACGATCGTAGTACACCCAAGTAGCCGGTGTACCTGTTAATATGTGCCTATATCAACTATATATAGATGATAACGCAACAGACTCGCGGGCGCGAGTAAAACGCGACAAGTGCGATTCTTACCGGCTGGCGGGGTGCCAAAATGATGCTCGCCAAGTGTGTAATACTACTGTCCGGCCAACTTGCGCCCGCATGTCCAAAAACAAGTCAGTAGTTGACACTCGCGCGGACATACATGTAGTGTACGTACACGGGTGAAGATGTACAAGGGAGAAAGCAAAAAAGTAATGATAAAAAGCTCACCCTTTACCTGATACCTCGTAATTTTTATGTAAATAAGCCTGATAAAATACACTGCCAAGTTTTTTCTAAATCTGAACTCACTGTCTCAAGAACTGTCCAAAATCTTTGAAAACAAATACTTTTGGCCCCTGATTCGCTCACAGGATCGCATGCTTCAAGTTTGGCAAAGATCTCTCACTTGTGTTTGTAAAAATTATGGTATCATGGTATCTCTGGGACTGCGTGCGTGCCACACGTAATCACATTATACCGGATTCTCAATGTCCCCCGAGTCCCGACTATGCACCCAACATTTTTTTACGATTTTTATAAATATACACCCCTACCGGGCGTGCATACTGTTTTCTTTTAAACTTGTTTCATGTGTATTATGCAGGGGTGCATTATTGAATTAATAATATCAATCACGCAACGATAGGTAAATCATTGTTCTATTCACCGATTTTTCAAAGTCAAGCGTATACACTAATATTACCTGTGCAGAAAATAAATGAGGTTTACTGAACCTCTAGCAGTGAAGGAATACTTGAGAGATCACGAGGAAAAATAAAATGGGGGGATGGTGAGAAACGAGAAAAGGGAAGATTACAGGTGATGAATGGAAATGATGCCTTTGTCTGTAACATCGGTATGTGTATAAACGTGCATGTTCAACTCTTACCTCCATCGTCTGGGAGTGATGAAGTGCCTTGATGGCATGGATGGCAGACTGTTTACTGGCAAAGGTTACGAAGGCGCAGCCTTTGCTCTGCCCGCTCTCCCTCAGCACCGAGCATTCCTCGATCTCCCCGTAGATGTCAAACATGTTGCGCACGTCGTTCTCTGTAAACTTTTTTGACAGCATGCCCACAAACAGTTTGCGATCTGTAACAAAGGAAGAAAAAAAATGTCTACTTTAGCTTTCAGGGCTTTGTTCTCCGTATTTATCATTTCGATTCCATTTATATTTCAACATTTTCAACGATTTTAGTGTCGTATATTTCGATTTGAAACTAGTTGATGTTACCAATTAGCCTTTTAACAACGACAAAATCATCAATCATCAAGTTTTTTTTCATAGATTTCAAATTTGTTGAATAATTAATAAAGTACCCTTTTTTGATCGAGTTCTTTATGACCACGCACTCGTAATTGTATTGATTTTATTTCAACCGAGAGTTGACGAGTTGAAATCAATTTAACAACCTTTATATTCAAGTATAAGTAGCTAGAGACTTGAGTAAGTTGTATACAGGCATTTCAATGTCGTTTACATATTGTGGGTACTTGGCAAAAAAAAAAAAAATTTTGTTCCGTTCGGGACTTGTACATCCATTACTTGTTTGTAACTAGACTGTATTCAATGACTCGTTGGCAATTACAGAGAGTATCGTTTGTATCAAGCATAAAATAAGCAGCAAAAAGATGATTGATAACAATGAAAAAAGTCGAGAATAGGTATTGCGAATGACAATGAATTGTGAACAGTGAGTATACGTAGAAAAATGATCATCTGCGGTGTGTTTAATACCAGCGCAAAAAGTGTAAAAAAAAAAATAATAATATTATTAATTAAGAATTATTGTATGAATGAATGGAAAATATAAATATTTCGAGCACGTTCAGGACCCGCGGCAGATCTCATTTCATCATCGTGACTACGATATTCTTGGTAACGAAATACATGATGACAAAACCTTGTCTCTTTCTCTCCCCTTATGTGACGTCAGGGCCTTGGTGATAACAATACGAAACTTGACACAAAGCGATAAAAGTAAAAAAATACAACATCAGTCCCCTGCGTTCCTTTCTCCTTACGAGTTTTGCGTCATGTTTGCTCTAATTTCGAGTAAAATTCAACTTGAACATTATAGGAAAAATGGTACATAGAAGATTGTATAAGCAAAACGTAAAACAGACAAAGTGGGAGCCTTGAAAATAACCGCACGCGGGTTTGCATTAGTATGCATTAAGTATTTTGGCATTTCCTTTTACATGCCCATAAGAAAAGACGAGAAAAGACATGCATAATAAGAGGACGAGAGAGAAATACGGTTGGAGAAGGAAGGTTTTTGTGTGTGAGTGTATACACGTTTCTTATAGGGAACATGAATGAAAAAAAAGAGCCTTAGGCCGGTTATAGCGTTGGTTGCTAGGCAGGTAGAGGCTTACCGGAAGAAACTTGAGGCATCGAATGTCATACGAATGATCAATTAAACTCCCATCTGATCGCTCCGCTTTTTATATTTTTATTCACATCAGCACCATTGCGACCACAACCACCACTTTTCTACTTTCTTCTTTCAGCTTTGCCCATACACCAAAGAGTTAACTGATTTATTTTACCCTACATCTGCTACTTTTTTTTTTTACATACAAACTTTAACCAATTATCTAGATCTCATTGTATTTACATTTTTGTTGACATTAAATGCAATTCATATTCGCAAGTCCCACCAAAGACACCACTTGATCGCACAACAACACTTGGACAACAATTTATCATCAATATTTCTTAAAGTTTGTCAACATGCTTCTTTGTTATCAACATATTTCATTACAAATTCAATTTGACCTGTTTTTATACGACACATCAGTAGTAGGATTACAAGATGATAAGATTCTACGTGAGATTGTTAATAATAAAGATTGATTGATTGAACAGAGACAAGCAGTAAAGATGCACAAACAAGTCAGCAGTTTACAGCAGACAGTACAGCATGAGAATGCACCTTGGTTATAAAGTGTATGATGTATGAATAGAGGTAAAAAAAAAAAAATTGTAGTGGAACATGTTACAGATCCTTATTTTATCGCCCCTAAATGTACTACGGTCATTCAATTTATTGATTTATTTACTCTCCTTTAACTCTCGGCATCAGAAATCATCAGCCGGTGATTATTATTCAACGGTGAACCCGCTGGTAAAAGAAGGTGCTGTGAATCGCTCGCGCCTGGAATACCGAGAGGACAGACAATGTGAGAGTGAGAGCGTGACAACAGCTCGCCAAATACAAGTACCTGCGTTGTCTTTCTTTTGTCTCCCCATGCATAGCCCCATCGAGAATGCTGCACTGCACCTCTCCTCTTCTCCCTATACTTTTTCCTCGACGAGTACTTATTCATAATATGCCGCACCTCTCGCGATTCGCCAACTTTTTATCCCCTCTGATTGTCTCAAAAGTAAAATATTCTACTCATTCTATTAATACATCCAATGTCTCCAGACAAGCTTTTAAAGACAACTCCATCAAAAATCTTTTGACACGGAGCTTCTTTTAACTTTTATTTATTGCCACATTCAAATTTCAAATACTAGGACATTTTCAAGGACAAGGAAAAAAATTTGCACGAGCCACGAGTAGAAAGTTTCAAGAGGCTAACGACTTTGCTCTACGTACTGATTGCTCGTGGTTGTGTGAGAAAAAAAAAAAAGAAAAAAAAAAAAAACCATATACATCTACTTTGGTGAATAGACTGACTACGTGAACTTGTTGGCATGCATATAGTTTACAAAAAGGGATTAATTAGCCAAGTAGCTCTGAAAAATTTTTAATCAAGTCTGTAGTGAGCTTTTCGAACCGGAGTTCATCAATACGCCAGAGGCTGATCAAAAAACGAAAATTTGTCCAAGTGTATAAAATAAACTCCCGAATGAGAAGACTTGTTGAATTGGTAAAAAAATTCCTCCACACCAAGAATAAGAGAAATATGATTTCGGGCAACTTTTTGTCAAAGTTAATTAAATCAAACAGAATTTAATTTGAATACTTCCTCATCACTATGCATGTCTTATTGTTCGTATTATTTTCGTGTATATACCTATTGCGTATACGCATTTTAATACATATTCAAGAAAAATACTACTTTAATTAGTAATATTCAATGGTGAGGGGTTAAATGAGTATTAAAAAACTTATAACGCAAAACGTTGACAGGCCTTTGAAATAAGACTGATCGGGTAGGAAAATGATTCTTGTACCGAGAGTGGCAAAGATAATTTAGTACTGCTTAAAATTGGTAAATTACAGAGTAAGCTTGAATGACATCTGATTTTCGGTCTAATGTAAACTTATGATTGGGAGACTTTATTTCATGTTTTCACACTTTTTCTCGATCCCCTACCAGACTGACTCTTGTGTGAGAAAAAAAAGTCTTACTCTCTTGAGTACATAGTAATACGGGTAGTACGAAAAAATAACAAGCCAGTTTTTTTTAGAAAACATGGTTTGAATTTGGTTTGCCGTTGCAATGACTTTCTGTGGAATGTCTCATATATAATGTACAGTTTTTTTCTTGGCTCAATCTTGCGAGCGCTTACGCAATCGAGCTCACAGAGGCTGAGCCTCACCTTTTGTACTTTTGTACTAGCGCGCCATTACGTACTTGCAGAAGTTTTGTATAACAATAAAGCCTTGCAACACCGTGTGCGTCATGTATTTTACTGTGGAAATCTAAGTGATTTGACATTTTTTTACTTCCTTCGAATGATTCGAGTTTCATTTACACGGTCATCAAAATGCAGCATAAACGATAAAGATGATTTTAGGCATTATCAAAGCACTTTTCTGCACTTCTTGCAGATATTGTATACACAAATATATTGTTATCCTCTTGCAGGGATCCTTTCACCGTAAATCCAAGCATGTTAAAGTACACGTTTAAAATGTGTAGTTGCAATTTTTAGTTCTTATTAAGTACATTGTAGATAACCAAAGCTATGATGAACCGAATAGTTGACACCAGTTCCATTAAACGGGACACATTTGAATGGGAAAAATCAATGTAGTAAAGCTGTTGAGTGAAAAATAAAATATCACATATTTAACATGTTTACAAGTGTGTAAAATCTGTGACAGAAATATTTTACTCACTACAGCGTTCTTCTGCCAATCGTTGAAGAAAAATTTTGTTTGGTTGAATAGAATTATATGCGAAATAGTATCAATTTGATTTTATTTATAATGCATTTAAAAAAAACAGAAATTTCGATTGCACGCTTTAAATCTGTACTTTACCACACTTGGATTTTACAGTATTGTCATTACTAAGAAAATTATTCGTACAATCCCGACCGCATAACTATATGAAATTATTTTCGTCAACGTTTTATTGCAAAATTAACCTATTAGGTGGTGCAAAAAATAAAGTTTATACCTGTATACAGTCAAATACTTACGTAAATAAATATTTAGAAAAGCCTAGATTTTTTTGCAGTCAGGTAAAAAAATGTGTCGACCAGCTTATAATAAGTTGGTTTTACCAAACTCGTGATTGCCTCGGTTTCTTTACCACCCATTTAAACTCGCATTCAACAATTATCTGTTTGGAGCTGCATTTTTACTGTACATGTTGTACTGCATCAAAGATGCAACGCAAATATGGAGTAATATAACACAAGCCCTGAGGCGAAAGACCAATTGGTTCGTTTGGGGCTTAGCTTGGAGCAGCTCGGAGCTCCTCCGAACTTTACCCCAAAACACGCGTTTTGCTCCGAGCAAATTCCTACAGTCGGTATATCTATATTTATGGCCAAGACGTAAATATTTATATTGCCAAGACTGTAAATATATATATATACCGACTGTAGGAATTTTCTCGGAGCAAAACGCGTGTTTTGGGGCAAAGTTCGGAAGAACTCCGAGCTGCTCCAAGCTAAGCCCCAAACGAACCTAATGTATTGATGAACACGTATATACAGCGGACACGAGGCGTCTACTCAATTTGTTTTCCTCTACTCTTTCGTTGGGAGCGTTAATGCATTCTTTATTGAGCTCAATTGTTTACTTTCGGGATTGCTATACTGTTATTCAAATATACCGCACACAGCCAACAGAAGGTTACCAATGGGTGCTGACAATTAGGGTATAGTAATTGTTCGCTAG